GGCAGTGCTTTTATTCAAAATCGCTCAACAACATTATCTATTAATATTCTGATAGGAGGGAAAAAATTAAAATTTGGAAAAAAATTAACAACATTAATGTATAGAGTACAAATTTCCTATCGATCAGTTTTACAACACAATAGAATAAATATTCATTGAAATATGGGGCTACAGACATTCAAACTGACAAAACTTTTGAAACAACTAATAGTTACAGAAATGTGCACGGAAAGATAATATTTTGTTCCACTGTGTAAAACAAGTTTTTATGAGATTCTAAAAATAGTTAGCAAAATCTATATAATTATAATAATGCATACATAATAAACTTTTTTCTCCACTCTCATGTATGAGTAAACACTGTATTTTAATTCTCTACAATACTTCAATGAGTATATTATTTACCTTCCATAAGAAAAGTCATTAAAAGTCGGTGTATAATTTAATAAAATATTCAAGACATGTTTGCAGGAAGTTGTTAGTTAGTAGCACACGTAAATAATCTAAAATTCAAAATTGAATTATTATTTCCTTGAAATAAAGTAATCCCACGAAAAGTTTTCAATGAAATTCTAAGTGAATTCATGAACAATGAAAAGATAATTTGAAAACAAATTTGTCAAGAAATTAAAAACTAGAACAATGTTGAATGTTGGAAACCTAAAAGAGACTTTCAATCCTGCAAATAATTAGAGTTTCATAAGCAAACATCTAGACAGACACCATAATGACCCAGATTGAGAAAAACAATTGTCAAAAAAACGTAGAACAATATTATTGATAGTTCAAGGTTGTCCGCTCCAAATTCTTTGAACCTTGGCTCAACGACATGAAATTTGTTGAAAAGTTTGGAGATAGGCTCAAGTAACCGATGCTNAGCAGCTTCATTGGACCAGAACCTGTCACTGACATCGATTTAGGCTTTGACAAATTCAATGGAGGTTTGAAGGGTTCAAAGGTGTTTGCCAATTTCTATCTTCAAAAATTTGATAATGACTATTTCATATGAACCGACAATTTGAACACTCTCATTAAAAACTATTTGAACAATGAACTTGCGAGAATATTTATTCTATCTTAAGTTTAATCACCTGTCTGAAAGCAGTTGGAAAATCATCAGGGTTTTCTACTTTTCTGATTCCTTTTCCGCCACCACCTTCAGAAGCCTTTATCATCACAGGAAAACCGATTTTGTGAGCTGCTGCTAAACCTTCCTCTGGTGTATTAACACAACCTTTTGCAAAAAGTTCTGATGATATTTTGATTTTCTTCCCGCTGTATTGGGCAGTTAACCCTAAAAATAAAAAAGAGTTCTTTTAATTATAATATGAAAGTTACGAATTAATTCAGGCTACATTGAAAGCTGAAGAGGCACATCTAAAATAGGTTATTATAATCTATGTTTATCATGTAAATGTCTACAAAAAAATATTTTCTCAATAGGCATAGTAATTGTTTCTCATATATTCGGCTTTCGAATCAAGAGAATCATATGTTTTACGAAAATTACAATATTCTGCTACTACATACATAGGCTACTATTAAACTATTAGGTTGTTTCAAAAGTATCGTACGCTTGAATGTCATGTGTTTTTGTAGCTCCCTATTTCAATAAATATTTATTCTACTCTTTGTGATCGATAGAAAATTTTGTGCTCTAAATATTGATGGTGTTCATTTCATCCAAATTATAATTTTTTTGCCTCTATTCAGCGTGTTGTTAAGCGATATTTAGGCACATTTTCTTTACAAATACAAGCAACCTCAGAACCATCCTTCACATGACTATAGAACTAGAAGTGCTGAAAATCATCACTCAAGAATTCACAACTGCAACAAAAATATAGTTCACCGATTTTCAATACATATTTCACCTAAAGCAGGGGTCGGCAAGTAGGTTTGAGTGGGGTCCGGATACTCTGTGGGAAAATTTTAACGAGGTCCAGAAAAAACAACTGACAATAATTAGGTGCTACTTATGTATTATTTTGGTTCACAGCAAATTCAAGTGCGTCTTCTAGGTGGGCATCCGTTAGTCTCAAACGATTTCAAAAACTGCACTTTTGAGAAAGATGTTTCACATATGTATGTTGAACCAAACATAGTGGCCAGATTTATAGCTAGTTTCTTGCAATTTTCATGTTTGGTCCAAAATTTGGTATCAGTGGATACCGTTTTATACATTTGCAAAGACACATCTTCTTGCCAATCAATTATCTCTATTTGAAGTGATCTGTGCATTCTGCCGCAACATTAACTAATTTGTATAACTAAATAAGAAAGGAAGTTGGTCAGACATTAATAATTTCAGACCAATTAGTCTTTTGACATGTATATCAAAACTATTCGAAAACGCAATGGCCATAAGACAAACATTTTTCTTCTCAAACTTTAATATGTTTTCTAGTTACCAACACGCCTATTTGAAAAAGAAAATCCATTGAGATAGCTCTTGTTAATTTTAGTAATGAAATTCTGGAAGCAATGGAAAGAGGGGATCTATCCTGTGGGATTTTCATGGACTTATCTGAAGCCATTGATTGTATATCTCAGGGGTCATTAGGTGCCAATACTCTATCATCGCTTCACTAAGATAATCCGAGAATTATTAGAATATAAAAAAAATGTTTAAAATATGTTTTTCCGTTAACCAGCTATCGCACCCCTACGGACAACAACCCTCAGAAGTCGAAACTTGTGCGAGCAAAGGACTTACGAGGTCTTACTTTTTAACGTGTGACTCCTGACACGGGTTGGATGATAGCAAGTGAAAATCGATCGTTCAGCCTGCGGCTTGAACCACCGACTAACACGGCGGTCGGACTAACAGGCATTTGGCAATGAACGCACTGTTTGGCGTTGGTTTGCGGTATTTAGTTCCGGAGATTTTAGTCCCGAAGATGTGCCCCGAAGTGGTCGACCTACAGTATTTCAGAACGAGGATTTGAGAACCTGGTGGACCCTGTCCCATCACAAGCGGTGCTTGGGATGGCGGAAGAACTGGGCGTCAGTTCCCATGCGGTTTTTGATCATTTAAAATATATTGCAAAGGTCAAAAAGCTCGAAAAGTGGGTGCCCCACGATTTGAACGATCGACAGAAATTCTCACGATTCAAGGTCTGCTCTTCTTTGCTTTTACGCAACCAAAACGATCCATTTTTGGATCGGATGAAAAGTAGGTTCTGTACGACAACAGGAGAGGTTCATGACAGTGGTTGTACACCGATGAGCCATCCAGGCACTTTCCGAAGACGAAAACCAACAAAAAAGACCGTGGTTCGTAGTAGTGTTGTAAATCATGCTCAAAAGAAAATAACGACGGCCGCCACTGGTAGCCATAAACCAATGGTGACGTAGCTAAGAGCGCGCGAATGTGCGATGATTTCCCGCCACTCGAGAAGCAGCGAGAATAATACTACCGACTTCGACAGAACTTCGGCGAAGTTTTTACGGCATTGGATTATGATATTTAAACGCTGGCTGCAAGTATATCGAAACAGTCAACTGGACGTTACAGTGCGGTATGCGAAGTGATCTAGTAAGGCGATAAACATTCAAATAATAGTTGAAGTTTTAGTTGAAGTGTTTGTTGTATTGAAAGTGAAATAAAGTTAAGTTTGATTATTCAGTGTAGTCAATTATTGGTCAATAAATGCCACATGTTCCGAAAATTGCGTAAGTAGAAGCTGGCAGATAACAGACCTCCCGATTATAATATATTAAAGCACTTTAATAACTTTCCCACCGGTAGAACCTTCGCCAAGGTCACGACCACAAAAAACGGCCTTTATCGACTTCTCGACTCTTCGAATCTCGAGTACAAAAAACTTTTGAAACAACCAAATCATTTTCGAACACTTACCAGAACCTGACCATGGTAATGTAGGTACTTCAGCAGTTTGTGCAACAAGAGAGGAAGCAATTTTATCTCCCAGAGCCCACATAGCTTTTTCATTGGGACCAATGAACGATATGTTATTCTTGTGTAATAACTCTGGTAGTTTTGGGTTTTCAGATGCATGACCCCATCCTGCCCAAACAGCCTAAAAGTAACCTATATTTCAAAACGTGAAATAAAGAAAGCACAAAGCATTTGCTGAAAGCAGTGCATTGACAATAATGAAAAGAAATAGTGAAGTATCTCACATTCAGCTTCAAAATTTTTGAAAGAAACGACTTTTGGTGGAGCTAGTGAAATTATTATACCATTTCCTCGTAATTTGACGAAAGAACTAAGAATAATTATAAGTAATTCAAAACGCATTCCATGAAATTCATATCCACTCACTTGTACTTGACATCTAACTGCAATGTTCACAATGAGTTCTACGTTGGCATAATTATTGTTGTTGGTGCCACCAGGTACAGGAACATAATGGTCCGCCATTTTTATATACTCGGCATTCGCTTTCAGATCTTCTGGAGTGACCATGACCACGAATCTTACCACCCTCTCGTTTTTGAACATCTCGTAGCACCATCTACGCACTGACCTCATACATTTCACTGCTGCTATACCGTTATTTGCTATGAGAACCTGGAGAAACAGATTGCTTTTGGAAAGAATTATAAACTAAGTATCTATATATATAAAGTTGAGAATCTTAACGACTGGAGAAATGTACAGTAAAATGGATTAACGGGGTCTCTCAGTCAAAAAATAAAAAATCTAAACTCAACTCTACTTTTCCAAGCTTTCATTTCTAATGGGAAGCCTCTACAGGGCAGTAAAAATGAGTGAAAAACAAAAAATTGAACCTATAAATTGACGAAAGAAAGTTTAACATGTATGGATTTTTTTCTTATGTTCAATTCATTGTTTTTCACTAATTTTTACTGCCCTGAAGAAGCTT